AATTCGAATGAATCAAATAAATTGCAATGTCGAGTATGAATTCTCACTTTAAAAACATCTGACAATGAATTCATCAAGTCGGGAATGATAAAGATATTCGAAAAAACTTGATAAAATGCACACAAAAACAAAAGCGAACAATAAATTAACCTCCCAACTGCAGAGACTTTCTCGATTCGGGCAATGTTTATTACCACACTCGAATTGTCCTTTACCGCTTTTCACCTCTTTTTCAACTCGCCATCGCATTGCAATCCTTCAATCAAAACTTGGAACATTCCTCGACGAAATAATCACTTGAAATTCTTTCAGCACAAAATTTGACGATGAGAAATTCTTTTTATGCTTTCAAAATGCCAACTCGCCCAAATATTTCAATAATCACCAGAAATTATTCACTCACTCACTTATTTTTCTTGTAGAACGTTAAATCGGCAATACAGTACTCTTTGAACAATTTATCATAATAACGCTTCGCCAATTTGAACTCCCACGAACGGTTTGCTGCGTCGTTCAGCTGAAAATTCAAACGTTTTTTGAACGTACCACGATTATTCTCTTTGCATTTTATGAGGAGACTGATATGTTCATTCGAAATTTGCACAGAATTCTAAAAGAAATCCATCAGAAAAGTTATTCCAAATTGAAACACAAAAAATATTCCACTGCGGAAAGTCTCAAAATCGAGTGTACAATTACCTCTTGTTCGTCCCACAAAAATCTGTACCTTTCTTTCAACACGTCAAAATCAGTTCTGTCGTTGCTGCAGTCGCGCTGTAAACGTTTCGTAGCACCCGGATAATACAAAAAATAATTGTTGATCAGTTCTTTATGTCTTGAATAGACGTCCAACGTCATCAAACGACGCTTTTGCCTTGAAACAGTGATGAACGATAAAAACAATCATAATTGTAAGTATGAATAACGATAACAATACCAGCAATAACAGTAATAAACTAATGAATACCTCTCAATCTGAGCATGCGCTTCGTCGAACGCAGCTCTCGACCGTGATCTGTCCGCTGATCCGACGAAAGCGTCCGACTTTCGAAATCCGCCTAGATCGTTATCTTTGCCCAACTTTCTGGCTTTCTTCTTCTCGCGTTCAATTTCACTTCCATAATCGAATTCCGAATTCAAATCGTCGTACTCAACAATAGGATTACGTTTGGTCATCTAAAAATTATTTATTAATTTCATTCTTTACAACAACACTTAAAACACGAACATTTACAGCGACACGATCAATCACACGCGACATTTGATAACAACATCAGTGATGTTAGTAACAACAATCATAAGTTTATCATTATTGACCTTTAAAATTGAAATCACTATACAAGCACTTAAACAGTATCAAAACATACAACACACAACCACCTATACGTATTTATTAGCATACGGAAAATGCAGTGATGAATCGAAGGGAAATATTACTATTACCGCCGTTATTATTCTTCGCAGAAATTCAGCCTGAAAATAATTTCTAAATTTCAATTGCAATGATAAATCATTCCTAAGATTTCAGAACATCAACAACAATGATTATGAGAATAAAACGTTCGAATGAACAATAGTAATGACAAATATTACAAACAAATAGCATCATTTTCATTGTTCCAATACGAGATGAAAGACTTTCACAAAATGATGATGATGCAAACACAGAGGATCTTCAAAGGACGAAATGGGGAGTAGCGTAAGATTTGGTTCATGTTGCAAACTTATCAACTTGAAAACCTTTGACGAACGGAATACCGGATGGTACGTTTCGTTGATAATTGATATATTTCAAACCAAAGAACGAGATCAAGCAAGATTCCTCCCAACGAATGCGATCGCTGAAGAATTTCCATGAGACGAGTGCATACAGAACAACACAAACGGGGTTCGATAGGATCACTTGAGTTCCCACACACCAAATAAACCATCCCAAATAACCGGGATGTCGCACCCATCCGTACACTCCGTTCGTTACCAATTCATGATTTGATTTTTTTCGGTTTGCTACCAAATGTGTGAAGCCACCACGTGCATGCAGCATTGCCATTTTCCTCAGTACTTCACCCAGAAATACCATCGTCAAACCACAGTACGCCATCCGATCACTTTTGCTATTCGGCCAAAAATAACTCTCCAGTGAAAATTCCGTCCAGCTTGTGAACGCCGCCAACCAATATTCCACGGAATGATTCAACAAATACGACGAATTTCTCAAGTCTCGTCGACTTGCCAGCGCTGTCATAACGTATTCGCTGTAGTGAAAGAACGCTATNGACACGTCGGCGGTGATGTAAACGAACGAAATTGCAAATACAGAGCCGAGCAACGACGCTTGTACACTGTTCCAGAAGCGTTTCCAATCCCAGAATAAAGCCAATCCGAATGCACAAATTAAGGCTGAACCAACTAGAATAAAAATAAAATATTGCTGTGAATAAATGCTGACTGCTATCAACCAGACAACCACGAATGAACCGAGTGCTGAGAGTAGAGAGCAGCGTAAATCCAAATCTTCATAGAGTCCAACTGCAAATGACCTTAACAAGTTCTGATGCTCGAACGATTTTATATGATTGTTTGATGTGCTCACCACCTCATCCTCCATTTTTTCTCACTTCCAGCAACACATCTGAAAAACAGTTTCAAGCCCTTATAAACCGCGACAACTTAAATAAGCGAAATGGCAGTCAGTAAAAAGGCGAGTTTACACAATAATGCCACAATCAAACTCGCGGCAACACATTATTTTTTTCAATCGTATTTTTCGACGTCTACATCACGGATTCTCATTCAGCTGCTGGACGTCTAACCTGAAGAAGTGTNCAAAATAAAGTGTTACAAACAATAAGAAGATATTTTAAAGTCACTGTTCGTCTCATACAATCATGTGTAAAATAATAGTACGTTGGTTCGCCACACTAACGATGAGATGAAATGTGGCCAATAAATAAATTTTCTTAAAGTAACACACTCGATCTTTATCGTTTCTCGAGAATGTTCAAATGCCGCATTTTCTGGATTTATGAGTTATACATCAATACTTTTCAAATTAAATATTATAGGTGTTGCTGAATAAAAGTAATGAGTAGGCCAGGAGGTTGGGCTCGAGTTTGGATAAATATAAAGAAGTCTTTGAGAGGTGATGGCACAAAAGGTATACGAAAATATATTGGCGAGGACTGCTCTGGAAATCGATTCTATGAAGTTCCACATCAGAGTCTGAGTAACGTTAGAAGGTTATTTATTTACTGTCATTATTGGTTAATTTCATCACTACACTAACGCACATATTTATATGTTTCATGCACATACCTTATAACTCCTGATATNTTCCTCTCAAGCTTTCTCGACAGGTTTCCAAGCTGCATATCGTCCTCAACTCTCAAGTCAATCTTCAAATTCGAACTTCTTCCCCGCCATTCATAAGCCTCCAAGTTGCCGTTTCTTGAGGAACGTGTTCTAAGTTATACGAGCAGTGTGTATTTTTATTTACATGAAAATGTATTCAGAGGTTACGAACCGAGTCCAACGAGTGGTGCAGAACCGAGTCTGGAATGGCAGTCATGGCTTAAAGGTACACGCACATCTCCTCCATCTCTTGAACAACTCTCAGCGAATCGTTCAGCAATTGCAAACGTTTGTCAATCATTTATTTATTGATAATAATTGGCAGAACAGCAACGAAATTTTGTGAATACGATCCGACTTGTGGAGACTCACTCAAATGCGACAAATTAATGCAAATAAGTGACAAAGAAAATTTTCTGTCCACATTAATGGTAGTAATAAATATTATAATAATAATTAATAATAAGAAAATTTCAGATGAACAAAAGACTCGAACAGGAAGAAAGAGATAAAGAAGAATCACCAGAGTTTGAGAGTGAGATAATCAATAAAACAAACAAATTCGAATTAAAGCAACAGCAGAGCGTATTAAGCGACAAAGTCAAGAAATATCCCGTTTATAAAGACTTCGAATACCAACCTGGTGTGTCGAACCCAGCTAATAATAAGGACAGCAGTGATAGATAAGTGAACGATATGAATGAACATTGTTATGTCATTGCTCACAAAACAGATTTACTTTCTGTTGCTATTTTTTAAAATTATAATTTATTACATGTATTTAATGTGTTCTTTTTTGATTTGTTAGCGTATTGCAGTGAACATTTTGTATGATAAGTGTTTGAAGGAAAGGATAGAAATGAAAATAGATATAATTTTTATGTGCGTTGACACTGACTTTTATTGATGAAGAGAAAGATTTAGATGAAGTTTTAATACGGTGCAATGAAGTGAGAAAAAAGAATTCAGATGGATGCGTTCACGGTGAATTCACGCTTAGAACTGTAGAGAAAATGAATGGATATGTATGCGCAGCTTACAAAGGCTACTAATTTAAATGTGTGCTATTTTATTGCTCACAGTCGAGTTTTCTTGCGGTGGCAATCAGCTTTCTCCTAATCACATTTCATGAATCGAATCTACGAGGTATTAACTCCTTGAATCATCTCAACTGCTTTCCTAAACAGTACCTGTGAATATGGAAATCACATTATGTTATGTTGACCGTTACGTTCACATCTTGTTAGCACATTCATGATGGTATTCGACACGGCTAGGCCTTCGCTTAGACCGCTGTGTTGCTCATTATTGTAATCGATCATGATTGCATGAAAAGCTGTTACCTATGACACGCTCATTTCAAACTGATTTACGATTAGATGAATTCTGATTCTTTTCAGACATGTTGTATTCACTCTCATAGATATTACATGTGAGTATCGTTCTCTTGATGAGTTTTTCATTTACTTGGTCTTATTTCACTTCACAGTTCCAATCAACTTCTTATTCGGTAGCATATACTGGATATGTTGCCGAGTGTTGACAGCCGAAGTCAACAATACAGCAACTGAATTAAATTGCTCAACAACGTTCGACAGCCAAATGATCAATTTTAGAGTGTATTTGATAGAATGATAATTTGACTTTAACTGTTGAGTGAAAGGAATGAGAAATTAGCAAAAGAGAACATTTTTGGTAATATAAGCCATAAGAGCGATTTTAACAACAAGAAAAAGAATGAAAACCCTGTTAAAACACCACTTACTGATGAATGGATGTGATTACAACAAACCTACGGAATATGATAATCAATTCCTGCTGAAAAACCAACTCACAGAACATAACCTCTCAAAATACTAAAAGATAAAGGGACTGGACATTCCATCTTCTGCGGTAAACGTCCGTTAAAATTCCTCAGCAGCCGGCACCGAAACATGCTCGAATTCATGCACTGTAATGTGGGCACAGTGGTTTTAGTCTTTGCATTCGGACGAATCGGACAAGCTTAAACGGAATGATCGGGTTTTTGTTGATGTTGAGTTGCTTGAAATGGTTCGAGGAATGTTGATGGTGAATTCATCGAGCAGTTGAGAGCATCCGATTGAACCTTTTTGTAAAATTTATGAGGAATTAAAAAGTTATGAGTATTTGCTATGAGATATTCATGGTCTCAACAGAAAAGTTTGAATTCCAGTTTTAAGACAAATTCATTCGTTATGCCACATTTATGGTCAGGACTGATTTGTTGGCAGTGCCTCATTCATATCTGTCAGGCTGCATCCAATTCTAACAATAAGGTAAACTTTATGGCATTCTCCTTCAATTAAAGTTTCCATTTTTGTCGGGAAAAGTTCTATTCCGGCACTTTTCCCGTTTCAATCGCTCTCAGCAGCAGTATTTTCCGTGACAGTCATTTTAAATTAAAGTTTCGAAGACTAAGCGCTCATTTTCCCTCAAAATTTCTGAGTTTATAAAGAACTGAATCCCCATCCGAATGGACTATTTGACTTTGACCGAGCAAATTTCTGTTGCGGCACTACGTGGAGTTCAATTGCTCACATTTGACTGAGACTTCCGTGGTCGAGAAATTAGCAACTCTTGATGCGATTCGAGTCTTCGTCAGTATGTAGAAAATTTATTTCTCTTCCCATTGAGATGTCATACGTACATCCAGGTTCAGCACGGCATTGAAACACAATACGTCAAATTCTTTTGTCTCATCGGTAAATCTATTCATCTGTTACCAAAGTCCGACGTATCGGCAACTTAATTGGCGAATCGATTGTCACCGTCCTTAATTCCCGCTCTTTCCATCGCATTTAAATGTTTTTGTTTTTTTTTTCAGTGTGAAAATTTAATATTTTTTAAAATTACCTTTGTTTTTCATGGGCCGACGTAAATTTCGTTCATAGCTTTGGATTGTTCGT